TTCACACATACAGTCTTTACTGGTATTTACCGGTATTTTGAAACCGTATGAATGGTGCCTGTGTGAATGGTGCCTTTGTGAACAGCGCATATGATGCTATGGCCGTTGTCAGGGTGTTCTAGTCGTTTTTGGCATGTTGCTATGTGGTTGTCAGGGTGTTTTGGGTGGTTGCTAGTGCGAGTTCTCCCTCAAGTCTTTCTCATGCAGTGTGCATCTGTGGGGTTTTTCCACCTGTGTCATGGTGTGCATCTGATCACTTAGACTTGGGTTTTTGTAGGGTTTGTTCAGCTTTGTCTGTATGGCCACCACTGTAAGCTCCATATAGCACAAGCCTGAAATATCCTGCTCATGTCCATTTGAGACGCAGAATCAGGCCGCAATCAAAGCCATGCTGGGCTCAGCTGGTTCCTCTGTCGGAAGTGGACTGAACTCACATGTGCGCTGGGAGTCCACACAGGCCTGTTTACATCCAATGACCCACTTTCACTCTTCATTTTGAAGTCCTCGTGCCCTAAAGAGCCATCAACAGAAGCTTCATTTCTGAAATCACTTCTATTTTTCTTTTAACCTCCAAGGTAGATTTAGCGGGATATTATTATATCTCGATTTTCAGAATGGACTCAGGGGCTCACTTGTGTAGTAGTTTCATACTGGAGCACACACTTAAGCATAAAGGCTCTTTAATTTTAATGGTTCTTTTCTGCAAAGCATTGTGGCATGTTTGAGGCTTGAGTTGTTGGTTTCTTTGGAGATGAAAACAGCTGTTGATGTTTCATTCTTCAGATTTCCAGAACCAGTTTATTCAGGTTCTTCAGATCAGATCAGGGCTCCTTAAAGCACCAGAACATAGATGTTTTATTAAGAAATAAAAGTGAAGCCCATGTTGGTTCACCAGAACATATGTGCTTTTGAACCATATTACATTAGTATTACTATGACTATTACTGTTTATGTATTTATTACAAATCTAAAAAATAAATATTTTACATAAATAATTAAATAAACAATGTTATTTATGAATTATATACATTTTACTTTCTGATTTCTTTACATAAATATTATTTATTTATTTAATAATATTTATTTACTTATGTAATGTATAATATAATATAACACATATATAATGTATAATATATAAATTAATATTATTTTATTTCTGTAAAAATGTGTTTTGCATATTTATATTATCTTTTACATAATGTTATTTGTTTTTATACAGCTACATAAATAGTATTATTATATACACTTTACGTATTTTTATTATATTTACATAAATAATTAATTTATATTGCCTTCCAATTCAATACAGTTCTCACTGCATGCTGTTTACATTCCATTCATGGTCAAAGTCACAATATTTTGTGCTTTTTCTTCTATATATTTTTCTTTATTATTGTGCTTTTTCTGTAATTAGCATGTTGTTATGCCATTGGAACACATTTACATTTACAAATACATTTACCCATTGGAATTGCATTTATATAAAATGTATATAAAATAACAAACATGACAATAATTTTTTAGGAGTGTAGGAGAACATTTAAAGATCTTGATTGATTTTTTTAATTATCAACAAAAAACCGTCTTGTAATTATCTTTGGCAGTGTAAGGTTTTTGAGGTACTCTTTGGTAATTTGGATATTTTTGATGTTTTTTAATAGGTGCTTCAGATCCGTGTTTTAGTTTCTTAGCTCTCAGAAAGTGTTTTTTTTTTTTTTTTTGTCAAGAACTCAAGAATAAATGCTCTTTTTTCTTGTGCTTCATCAGGCTGTAAAACACATTTTGATCCTTTGTTTAATAGTGTATAAGCTCTCGCATGGTGTGACAGTATTTCTTTTTTGACGCTCGGCCTTTGTTTACCTATTTGTAATAGTAATAGGCCCAGAAATGTGACTGTTACTAATATAGATGACAAATACAGTGGTCAATGAATTAACAGAGTAGTGCAGCAGCAGTTTTTTCACATTAAGCCCAGGCTGTTCATTCTGCCAAGGCAATTATATTCAGCACCGAAGCAGACTGGTGAGATCCGGGGCCAGTTTGTTGGCTCAAAATCGGCCTGACAATCACGTCTAAACACTCAGTGTCTGCACTGAGCATATCAGGAGGGTTTCCCTATCTGATCTCAGGTCAGAAAGACTGACATCCCCTACTATGTTATCTTTACTTCCAGGTCGTTTATCATTGCTGAAAGCTGGTCCGGAGGCATTGAAGTGTTCAATTTAATCATGACTGTGTGGCTGCTTACTCTTGGCGGTGTCGTGCGCTTTATGATAAAACTGAGTTGCCACCAGAGTGTGGCGAAAGCTTAGTCATAAGTGTGAAGTATGTCGCTGTGTCTTGCTAAAAACGGCCAGCAGAATCAATTAAAGAGCAGGAAGAAAGGAGATGGCAAGCGAGGGATCTAGTTTGGCTGGATTTCAGCTCCTTGGGAAGTGGGTCGTGCTGATGAATGATAACATGAGGGATAAACCTCGTCCTTAAAGGTGAAATGTGCACATTTCTAATGTTTAAATAGTTGCCAAAAATATATAAAATGACATGATAATTGACTATTGAGCGTTAGTTTTAGGAGAACCTTTAAAGATCTACCCAGCTATCAGGGAATGTTCTGGTAAAGTTCTCTCAAAGTTATAAACAAACATTCTTCCAGTAACATTAATAGAACGTTCATTCAAAGTTATCTGGTCTTTAAAGGGATAGTTCACCCAAAAATGAAAATTACCCCATGATTTACTCACCCTCAAGCCATCCTAGGTGTATATGACTTCCTTCTTTCAGACAAATCCAATTGGAGTTATATTAAAAAATGTCCAAAAGACGTCAAATAAAGTGCATCCATCCATAATAAAAAGTGTCCTAGACCACTCCAGGGGTGAATAAAAGCCTCCTGAAGCGAATCAATGCATTTTTGTAAAAAAAAAAAAATCCATATTTAAAACTTTATAAACCGTAACCTCTAGCTTCCGCTGACTGTCGTACGCGCGTTCATTCTGGAGGATCAAAGATCTTCTTATCAGTAATTATTTTTGGCCATAAGGTTCATGAGATGCTCTTTGATTTGGAGATTAAAATGTTTTGTTTCAAAGGTTCTTTAGATCAGTTTTGTGGTTTCTTCATAGCTAAAACTAGAGAATAAAAGCTCCTTTAAAGGTTCTCCTGATTGTCACGGTGTACCTACTGTGAGGAGCGAGGACGCAGGAAAATCAAAATCAACAGTCTTTATTGACATCAAGGAATCACACGCGGGACACGGGATCGACATTCAAGACAGCACGCTCGACTGAGGAAACACAGGGCTTAAATCATAGGATTAATCAAGGAAACTAATGAGGGAACACCTGGAACTAATGATGAACTAATCAGGGAACATAATGGGAACAGGACACACATGGGGAAACCAGGACATGGAGCACGTGGGGGAGGAAAACACAACACAAGACAGGAACAGTCTGACACTGATCATTTAGGTCCACATTTTTGTTTACTAGTTGAGAGTTCTGAAATAAATTATTCAGGATTAGATTTTTGTCTACAAAGTTTTTTGTAAAGCTGAGAGTTGTGAAGAATGAAATAAAGCTGAGAGTTGTGAAGAATGAAACTGTTATGCTTTCAAAACATTGATCTGGCATTACTCAGAGCAGGCAGACTAGGAGGCCATGGCGGAGCAGACAGAGTAGGAGGCCATGGCGGAGCAGGCAGACTAGGAGGCCATGGTGGAGCAGGCAGACTAGGAGGCCATGGCTGAGCAGGCAGACTGGGAGGCCATGGCGGAGCAGGGAGACTGAGAGGCCATGGCGGATCAGGCAGACTGAGAGGCCATGGCGGATCAGGCAGACTGGGAAGCTATGGCGGAGCAGACAAACTAGGAGGCACACGCGGGACACGGGATCGACATTCAAGACAGCACGCTCGACTGAGGAAACACAGGGCTTAAATCATAGGATTAATCAAGGAAACTAATGAGGGAACACCTGGAACTAATGATGAACTAATCAGGGAACATAATGGGAACAGGACACACATGGGGAAACCAGGACATGGAGCACGTGGGGGAGGAAAACACAACACAAGACAGGAACAGTCTGACACTGATCATTTAGGTCCACATTTTTGTTTACTAGTTGAGAGTTCTGAAATAAATTATTCAGGATTAGATTTTTGTCTACAAAGTTTTTTGTAAAGCTGAGAGTTGTGAAGAATGAAATAAAGCTGAGAGTTGTGAAGAATGAAACGGCCACTACGGATGGACCCATACTACCCCTCCCCCAAAAAAAATCCTTGGGGAGAATATTGTCTTTAGAGGCCCTCCATAGGCCTAACTCGGGAACTGTGGCCCTCCCTGGGCTTGACTTGGGGACTGGAGCCCTCCTTGGACAGGACATGGGGACTGGAGCCCTCCTTGGGCTAAACTCGGGGACTGGAACCCTCTCTGGTTCTGGCTCGGGGCAGGACACTCTCCAGACACCAGAGGATCCCTTCCCTCCAGCGTAGTCCCGTGGTGTCTGGGAGGTCCACAGGGCGATGGTAATAGGCCCCGTGCCAGAACAAAGAGTTGATGGTGGCGTTATCTAAAGCCGTCGCCGCGGCGAGCCCGCAGAACTCCCTGGCATACTCAACGAAGGGGAGATCTCTACAGGCTAGCACGATGAATCGTGCAGCGATCAACATTATCGCGGGGGGAACGGAAAACAAAAACACTTTTCAGAAAACGGAAACAAACAAGGGGAGAGGGGGCACCGCTTACTGTTTTGGTGCTGTCTTCTGTCACGATGTGCCTACTGTGAGGAGCGAGGAACCAGGAATGTGGAACGAGGAGAACGCAGGAGAATCAAGATCAACAGTCTTTATTGACATCAAGGAATCACATGTAGGACACGGGATCGACGTTCAAGACAGCACGCTCGACTGAGGAAACAGAGGGCTTAAAATCATAGGACTAATCAAGGAAACTAATGAGGGAACACCTGGAACTAATGATGAACTAATCAGGGAACATAATGGGAACAGAAAACACATGGGAAAACCAGGACATGGAGCACATGGAGGAGGAAAACACAACACAGGAACAGAGTCTGACACTGATCATTTAGGTCCACATTTTTGTTTACTAGTTGAGAGTTCTGAAAGAAATTAGTCAGAATTTGATTTCTGTCTACAAAGTTTTTTGTAAAGCTGAGAGTTGTGAAGAATGAAACTGTTATGCTTTCAAAACATTGATCTGACATGTCAACTTCTGATTCAGCCAATGGCTGAATTGTGGGCGGGACTATCTGTTTGATTGACCAATGGAAGACAGAGTGTTCAGGAAAAATCTTTATTTTTGCAGTTTCATTCGGTAAAGCTAGTGGAAATAAGTCACAGAATACAGAAATCACACACTAATATTGTTAAACTGAAGCTTGGTAGCTGTTTTTTTTGGTAGTTTCACTGAAAAAAATCTGGTAACACTTTATTTTAAGGACCAGTTCTCACTATTAACTAGTTGCTTATTAGCATGCATATTACGAGCATACTGGCTGTTTAGTACTTATACATTAATGCCTTAACAACTACCTTTCTAACTATTAATAAGCAGCAAATTAGGAGTTCATTGAGGGGAAACCACTTATGAACATGTTCCCTAATCTAAAGTGTTACTAAAAATGTTTGAAAATCTTTGAAACAATTTTCACTCAGAAATTGCAATATTTAATATATTAACTTTATTAATTAATAATTAATTAAAAAGAAAAATGGAAAATAGAAAATACAAGAATGAAAAAATAATTCAAAATATTTAAAAAAAGCTATAATAATAATAATAACACTAAGACAACGCTGATAATTATTAAGAAATGGCAATTCAATTTTGAATTAAATGTAACACTTTGAAGTGGAAAAACTAAAATAGTATTTTCTTGTAAAACATACTCTAATGATCTTTATTTACAACTTTGAAGAATAATTTTTTTACACTGTAGGATCCAGTTTGTGTTGATTAAACGTCACTTTAGCCTAACAGTAACTATATGTGGAAATATGATTTGTATCTCCTATAGTGAGGTCTCAGCCTCATCGGGATTTATCGTTTATCAATTCTATCAGTTGTTTGTATAGAACGAGACATAAACCCTCAGCATAAGATCAATTTGCTGCGAATGCGCTCCGTATTTCCCCGCAAAGCATGTTGTCCTTTATGATTCATGGTCTCAAAGAGCCTGGACATTCATTCAACAAATCACCCTCATACGTCTTCTTTACTGTCAGTTATGAAAATGTGTGAATAGAAAGTCAAACGCTGAATGGGAGTCTTATGGAGTCAAGGTTACACAGTTAGTGGCAGTTGTGTGTTTTTTTTTTCCTCGTTGAACTCGCGCCTGCTCCTAATGCATTTGCATTTATTAATACGGGCCGCAGTATTTAAGCGCAAAATTGGCAGAAAACTACGCCGCAGCCGTCAGACTCAAGGCTTCGGCACCCAAAACCAAAGCACATTCATCTCACACACCTGCCACGGCTGATAGGTGATACAGCCCAGAGAATTCATCATCCTCAGCCATATTTTGTCTACAGAATATACTGCACTTTCGCAAACATTTCTTTAGCTGTCAGTGTCGAGTGCATTTGGGAGAAAAAGCTATTTATTTTCTGTGCATGTCCAAACACTTAAAGGGGGTACTTCAGCCGAAAATGTTAAATCTGTTTTTTTGCTTATGTTATTGGAGCACAGAAGGTGAATTTTTGAAGAATTTTGGAAAAAAGACATCCAATTTAGATAGATAGATAGATAGATAGATAGATAGATAGATAGATAGATTTGGATTTTTTAAAGAAATTAAATAAAATGTATCACGGTTTCCAGAAAAATATTCATCAGCACAACTGTTTTCAACACTGATAATAATCAGAAATGTTTCTTGAGCAGCAAATCAGCATCTTAGAATGATTTCTGAAGATCATGTGATACTGAAGACTGGAGTAATGGTGCTGAAAATTCAGCTTTGAATCACAGATATAAATTACATTTGAAAATATATTCACATAGAAAACAACTATTTTAAATTATAATAATATTTCTCATTTTTTCACAAAATAAATGCAGCCTTGATGAGCAGAAGGGACTTTATATATATATGTATAAAAGGTATAAAACAAACAAAAAATAGTTGTGCACATGTATGTTGAATGTGTTTTGTATGTTGAAGTTAAGTTTAACTTAACTTAACTTATAGACCGTTTTGTGTGAGTATATGATTCTTTATGTTTTGTTTTTTTGAGCTTGACAGTCGTTGTCATTATGAATTGTTGTATATAAAAGAGCAGCATAAATTTCCTTTAAAAAAAAGCCCCCTGTGGTGTCCCACAGAACAAGATAACAGCATGTGGATCGTAAGCGAGTAAATAAAGTCCGAATTTTAATTTTGGAGTGAACTATTCCTTTAAATGTGCTCCATGTTTTATATCAGCAGCCTCAAACTCTCGCTAAAAGACGCTCACAGATGTGCGCTTGAAGAAGAACGGATAAAACACGACAAAATAGACGGCGGGACGCTGCAGGAGGAGCGACTCCCGAGCCGTGTCACATTCTACATGCGTATTTCATTTCACTCTTCAGTGCTTTCCCTGTGGCAGGGTGGGAACGCAGAGTGACCTGCTAGCAAGGTCAAAGGAGAAGTGTGCACCCATGAAGAAAGCAGCTAATCAGATATTTCTCACCCTTGAGGCGTCCGAGTTCTCCAGTAGTTTGGCGTCGGGCGTCTGGATGTTGCTTTTCCTCGTGAGCGCAGTGAAAGTGATTAGTTGTCGGTAATGGAGGGGAATGGTGTTAGTGACACGGCTCGACCTGCCTGCTATCTACACACGCACAAATAAATTGTTTATCTGTCTGTGGTTTCGCTTTCTGATGTTGCTCTAGTGGTTGAAAGACTCCATGACTCTATCAAGAGTTTTGTGGCTTTCGGTTTGTGTCTGCTACTAGTATAGTATGAGTATTAGTGCTGCAGTATGTAGTATGTGAACTGTGCCCAGTATGCAGGTTTTCTGTATGCATAGAAAAGCTAAATGATTAACTACATTGGTCAAAATGTGGACTAAACAGCCTTCCAACACTGTGTGCAATACTGTATCCCACAAAGCACTTGACTTGTCCTTTCATTTCAAGTGTTGCGAATATCAGCTGAGATTTTTATAATATCCTGATTCATTATTTAATAAGGCTTGCCAAAACTGTTTATTTTTTGTGTATTTATTACATAATAATAATATTTATTTATTTATTTATTTATTTAATTTTGCTTTAACATATATAGAAATAATATTATTTATTTATTTTAATACACTTATTTATATATTTGTATTTGTATTATTTATATAAATATGAAAGGAATTTTTAGTTGTGATGTGCATATTTTTTTTTACATATTTGCATGTTTTTAACAATTTTACATAAATGTACATTTCATATTGTTTCTTACATAAATATAAATATGTATTTATTCAAATACGTTTTTTTGTATCTTATATTTGTATTATGTACACAAATATAAATAAAAAGATTTAGTTATTTTTGGTACATCAATATAATTAAATAACATTTGTATTTATTTTAGTTTTTTACATATTTACATTTTTACATATGTATATTTTCATATTGTTTTTACTTTAATATAAATAATGCTATTTACTTATTTAAATACATTAGTTTATATATTTTTGTTATATATATTTACATGAATATCAATTATAATATTTATTTATTTATTTTTTCATATAATTAAATAACATTATTTTATTTTTACATATGTACATATTTTTTACAATTTGTTTACATAAATATAATATTGTTTTAAATAATGATAATGTTATTTGTTTATTTGAATGTTTATTTTTATTTTACATTTGTATTATTTACATATTATTTACATTTTTATCTTATTATTTTACATGAATTTAAGTAAAACATAATCATTTTTGTTTATTTAAATTAATCTATTTTATTTATTTATTTATTTACTTGAATGGCTTAAAAAATAAATAACCGCTTTTATTTCCAGGATGATACAGTAATTGACAGTCAATGTAGTGACATCAATGTAACATGCTGCTGTTGGAGACATGTATCATTGTGTAATACATACTGTTTCAGTTCTTTAAAAAAAATAGAAGGTAGTACAAAGCATACACAGTAGGCTAGTATTCATTGAGATCACAGCCGTGATCCCATATGCATTAGTGTGTTGTTTGTTTGTTTATATGCTTACAGCCAGCAAAGTTTTCTGAATTTCATTGCGAGTCTGGCTCCCAGCGGAGCGTCTTACTCATGTTTACTACGCTGCTGACGTCACTCACTCAGATGAGGACTCGTATATCACTGGCCTTCAGGACAGCAGCTCATTAGTAGTTAAAACAAGCAATTACAACATGCATGTCAAGAAAATTTATGTTTAATGTGATTTCCCCTCCGAGGGTGTCCCTCCATTAAGAAACTTGCATTCATCACACAGATCCTCCTGTCAGGGATTATCGTTTATAATAAGGGCTTCTCAAGCCTACAGACCCCTGCAAGAATCAAACGGCTTGATTTGAGGAGTAGCTCCTTAGTATGCAGATAAAACCAAACGAGATGAAACACGCGTCCCTGAAGGACCAGAACATGAACGTGTAGAAGTAGCTTGGGATCTATATTCCACTCGCACTGCATCTTTTAGAAATGATACATTTGAAAATATGTGTTCTATTTCGAACCAGCCTGATGTCACTGGAGAACCTTTGATGTTCCACAAAGAACTCATTCTCTCTTGGTGCTTAGAAAAGCATTGTGGTGCTTTAAAGATCAGAGACACCAAAACACTGATCTGAAGAACTACATGTAGTAGTAAATAATCAAACATCAAGACTGTTTAATTCTCTAACAGGGTTGCTGAGGCTAATTGTCACACTTTTTAATCCAGGGATTGATTGATTGATTGATTGATTGATTGATTGATTGATTGATTGATTGATTGATTGATTGGTTGGTTGGTTTATTGATTGATTGATATTTGATAATATACATCTACATTTAGTCATTTAGCAGACGCTTTTATCCAAAG